ATATATATATGCAGATGTTTCGACATCCATTTCCATGGGTTTTGCTATCGACCTACAAATATCAGCATCATCTTCCACGTTTGAATGCAAGTATGTATGTATTTACACATACATGTTTATATCTATACATATAGATTTACAAGACTGCAGTGGCGCTTCGCGCCATGCACCTTGGTCCTTGAAGTTTGGTATGTAGGCGGAATAACAGGAAGGTCAAGCCGAGGGGGACCGTCTCGGACCATGTTGCGCTCTCTTGAAGGCCACTTGGAACGCTCCTGGAGCGCTCTTGGGGGCCTGCTGGGGCCTGGCCGGGACCTGGCCGGGACTTGGCCGGGACATTGCTGGGACCTTGCAGGTGCACTTTTCGTCCGGGGACCCCCATGGGCGGCCCCGCGCGCGCGGACTAGATATATTACCGAAGAGCTTAGCACGCCCTTGGCCCGTTGGGCCAGCGAGTAAGGAAAAAGGAGGAGGAGGAGGAGGAGGAGCCTTCCAGGAGATGATGGACGACCTGATGAACAAGTGCATCCTCGTCGGCATCGAGCAGGTCCAGAGCATGAACAGTGGCGGCATCGACGGCACGCTCAGGGGCATGGCCAAGCCCCTGCTGGACCGGGTGCTGCAGGGTCTCCTGCTCGAGAAGGGGGCCAAGCTGCGGGAGTTCGAGGGGGAGTGGTGGCAGACGATCGAGGCTGTGGACGAGTTCAGCGACGACGCGCCGCCGAGGGAGTGGGACGAGCTCGACACCTAGTTGCCTCGATACGCCCGTTTTGAGACGCAATGCGTCCCGTGTTCAAGACGTCCGTGTCAGTACGGTGCGTGTTGGCTCCACGTGTTGGGCCACGTTTTGGCGAATGTATCGCGTCGGACCTACGTTTTCAGCCTACGTGTTGAGCTCCGTATCGATAGGCTACGTGTGGCGTGTTGCGTATCGGGGCAACTTAGGTTCGACAGCGTGACGAACTACGACAGCGAGGAGGAGGAGGAGGAGGAGGAGCACGAGGTGACATCGCCCTCGGTGTACGCGAGCACCAGCCCGTCGCCGGACGAGCCGATGTCGCCGGGGTCGCCAGGCAGCCTCTACTTGATCGACATGGACGCGGCGCGTGCGGGCGCGACGCCCGAGACGGGGCCGTTGTGCCGCGACGGCCACGAGCTCCGGAGGGCCATGTGCGAGGGCGACTACGTCTGCGACGTGTGCCAGCGCGCGCTGGAACCCGAGAGTCGCATCCACCACTGCGGCAGGTGCAACTGGGGCGTGTGCGAGCAGTGCATCGAGGCCGCCGGCATCGCCTGGGAGGCCGCGCCGCCGATGAAGGATTCCCCTCCTCTTCGATCCTCCTCCTCGATCCTCCTCCTCGACCCTCCTCCTCGATCCTCCTCGATCCTCCTCCTCCTCGATCCTCCTCCTCCTCGATCCTCCTCCTCCTCCTCCTCCTCGATCCTCCTCCTCCTCGATCCCCTCCTCCTCGATCCTCCTCCTCCTCGATCCATCTCCTCGATCCTCCTCCTCCTCGATCCTCCTCCTCCTCGATCCTCCTCCTCCCCGCGAAGCCAACGGAGCCTGAAGGCAGCGGGTCCCAGGCTGGCCCCCGGGCCGCCTCGGGGGCCCCCCGCGGGAGGGAGAGGCTGGTCCCGGAGAGAGCCCCTGGTCCAGGGCAGCGTGGGGGGGGGGGATACCCTCCTCCCTCTCCCTCCTCCCTTCCTCCCCTCTACCTCTTCCTCCTCCCTCCTCCTCCCCTCCCTCCTCCCACCTCCCTCCTCCTCCTCCTCCTCCGCCGCCTCCTCCTCCTCCTCCTCCTCCACCGCCGCCTCCTCTCTCCTCCTCCTCCGCTCCTCCTCCTCCGCCTCCTCCTCCTCCTCGATCCTCCGCCCCCTCCTCACTCCTCCGCCTCCGCCTCCTCCTCCTCCTCCGCCTCCGCCTCCTCCTCCTCCTCCTCCTCCGCCTCCTCCTCCTCCTCCTCCGCCTCCTCCTCCTCCGCCTCCTCCTCCTGGTTCAAACAAGGTGGCTTCGGCGCGCGCGCGAGTTGCATGTTCAAAGCGCCCGAGAGCGCGGGAGACCGCCCGAGAGGGCGTCCGGGGTGCCCCCCGGGGCCAAGGATCCGGAGGGGGATCGGATCGGATCGCTTGTGCGGGCATGCGCCCAGGCCCCTCAAGGGCGAGGCGGGCGAGGCCATGGCCTCGCATGAGAGGCAGCGCGCGTCGGAGGCTTGCTCAGGATCATGCGTGCCTCAGGAGTTGATGTTCCAATTGTTCGCACTCCTCTGTTGCAATCCGAGGGGAGGGGGGGGTCGCAGGGTCCAATATTATAAGATCACAAGACAGCTCGCCGCTTGGATCCGGAGGGGGATCGGATCGCCCTGACTTCGGATCCGCCGTACTCTGGTTGATTCTCCGACTTGGAACTGTGTCGGACATGCACCCCAGACGATGCGAAAGGGTGTGGCGGAAGTGTCCACCTCGGGAAGAGAGAGAGCGCGGATGCTTCCGCAGAGGTGTGGCGAAAACGGCGACGGCAAAGCAGGGCGGAACTCGGCATCGAAGGAGCTCAACAAGCAGGGCGGAAATTTCCGCCCTACTTGCGAAACCCACCAAAGTACGGCAGATCCGAAGTCGGGGTATGGGGGAACGAACAATGACATAATCATAAAAACTCGGAGGTCCGCGCGGATTTCTCGGATCGGCGCTGGAACCCCCTGGCGGCCCCTCCGGCGCCGCCCCCGGCGCGCTCCGCGCGCCAGGGAGGGGGGTCCAGCTCCGTTCCGAGAACTCCGCGCGGACCTCCGAGTTTTTATGTTCATGTCATTGCTTGTTCCCCTGGGCTATGCTCAGCGGGGAACGCCTCAATCTCCAATCGCACGTTCATCGCCGACGAGGGCCCGATGGCCCACTCCCGCCCAGGAGCGCGCGGCTTCGAAGGTCGGGGGCCTCTCGCCGATCGGTCGGCCACGTATCGCGGATTCCAGGTCGATGTTCCCCGCCCTGGGCCAGCACTCCCCTGCAGGACTCGTTTCGATTCCCTCGAACCGATTCGATTCGACTTCGATGGCTTCCGATTCCGATTCGATTCAATTCTGGGATTCCGATTTGGGCGCCGACTTCTCACTGGAGGGCTACTAGCCTGCCGATTTCGGCCGATTCGACTTTTCCCGACTCGGCTGCCGATTTCCGCCGATCCGATTAATTTCGATCGCCGGTCCGACTTACCGATTCGATTTTGGGCTCTCCTGCCCCTGTTATTCCCCCCCTCTTTCTGGGATCCGTGACCCGTTTCCCTCGGGGCCCGCCTAACCAGCCTTGAATTTATCCTTATTCTTTTCTCTATATTGGAGGACGAGGAGGAGGGGGACGACGACGATCAGGAAGGGGAGGACGACGGGGAGGAATACGAGTAGTACGAGGACGAAGTGTGGGCATTCGAATGCGTGCGGGGCCACGCCCGATTTATGCTCGCCGTTTGGGCTGGCGGCGGGGCCCAAGCGGCGAGCTGTCTTGTGATCTTATAATATTGGACCCTGCGACCCCCCCCTCCCCTCGGATTGCAACAGAGGAGTGGGAACAATTGGAACATCAACTCGTGCGGCACGCATGATCCTGAGCAAGCCTCCGACGCGCGCTGCCTCTCATGCGAGGCCATGGCCTCGCCCGCCTCGCCCTTGATGGGGCCCGGGCGCATGCCCGCACAGGCGATCCGATTCGATCCGATCCCCCTACGAATCTTTGGCCCCGGGGGGAACCCCGGACGCCCTCTCGGGCGGTCTCCTGCGCTCTCCACCCCGACTTCGGATCCGCCGTACTTTGGTGGGTTTCGCAAGTAGGGCGGAAATTTCCGCCCTGCTTGTTGAGCTCCTTTGATGCCGATTTCCGCCCTACTTTGCCGTCGCTGTTTTCGCCACACCTCTGCGGAAGTATTCGCGCTCTCTCTCTCTCTCTCTCTGTGTCTGAGGGGGGCATTTCCGCCATACCGTTTCGCATCGTCTGGGGTGCATGTCCGACACAGTTCCAAGTCGGAAAGTCAACCAGAGTACGGCGGATCCGAAGTCAGGGCGATCCGATCCCCCTCCGGATCCTTGGCCCCGGGGGCACCCCGGACGCCCTCTCGGGCGGTTTCCCGCGCTCTCTCGGGCGTTTTGAACATGTAACTCGCGCGCGCGCCGAAGCCATCTTGTCTGAACTAAGAGGAGGAGGAGGAGGAGGAGGAGGAGGAGGAGGAGGAGGAGGAGGAGAAGGAGGAGGAGGCGGAGGAGGAGGAGGAGGAGGAGGATCGAGGAGGAGGAGGAGGAGGAGAGAGGAGGGAGGAGGAGGAGGAGGAGGAGGATCGAGGAGGAGGAGGAGGAGGAGGAGGAGGACGAGGCGGACGAGGGTGCGAGGGGAGGGCGACGACGAGAGGGAGGAGAGCGGGGCACCCCGGACGCCCTCTCGGCAGGGCTCCCGCGCTCTCCAGGGCTCCCGCGGCCCCTGCTGGGCCTCGGCGGCGGGCCCACGCCGGTCAGGAGGGCGGCCCTGGGCGAGAGCCGACGGAGGTAAAAAGTCGGCGGGGGCCTCTGCATTCGTTTTCGGGCGCCCGACGCTGCGCCCATCGCCCGCAACCAGCCGCCACACCCCTTCCCTGACTCCTGATCCGCCCTACTTTGGGCGATTTCGAAAGTAGGGCGGAAATTTCCGCCCTACTTTTGAGGCCCCTTTGAGCGTCGATTTCCGCCCTTGAGGCTCCTTTGGCGTCGATTTCCGACACAATTCTAGGTCGGAAAATCATCCAAAGTACGGCGGATCAGGAGCCAGGGTTTTCCCCAGGCTGGCTGGGCCGACGGCTCCTGGCCTGGCTGGACCGACAGTTTGGCTCCGCCATGCGATTTCAGACCTCGGGCCGAATTCTCAGATCGTGCACATCTGTTTGACTGTCTGCAGGAGCGCCCTGGGAGCAACCTGAGGGCGCCGTGAGAGCGGTCCCTCGACTTTGACCCAAAAGGGGGTCCAGCGACAAGGGGGTGGTGCAACAGATCTGGTGCAATAGACGTGTGGGTGTTGCACGAATCATGGGGCGTGCAATACGTTCCAGGGCGCAAATGTGTCTCCGGTTTTTCGCGTGCAACACATCACTTGAAATACAGTGCAATACAATTCTCCGACGCAGTACATTTGCAATACAAATGCCCCAAATCTATTGCACCACCCCCTTTCAGCTGGACCCCCTTTTGGGCCACCCAAAGTCGTGGCGTCCGAAAACCAAACTCGGAATCGCAAAGCCATCTTGTTTGAACATATAACTCGCGCGCGCGCGCCCCCATTTCCCCAAAGCCAAACATATGGAGCAACAGGTGCTTCCCCCGTTCAAAATCAGGGGCACTTTTCAATTGTGTAGCCCCCATTCCCCAAAGCCAAAAAAATGGAGCAACATGTGCTTCCCCCGTTCAAAATCATGGGCACTTCCCAATTGTGCAGCAGGACCTCCACTCGGACCATATGTCAAGGGCTTAAAAAAACGCCCCTGCCGTGGCTTACGAGGCGCTGCGCGCTGCAACCTCCTGTGGGCCGACAGGCGATGTGCGGCGTCCTGGCGGCTCTCTAGGCTTCGGGGGGGTCCCAGGAGGTCTACGGACCACGCACTCGTGACCCAGGGTAGGGTCGTTTTTTGTTCATCCCTCCAAGCTGCCCGAGAACGACCGAAAGAAGACCTCCGAGAGGCTTCGGGGGTTCCCAGGAGGTCTACGGACCACGCACTCGTGACCCAGGGTAGGGTCGTTTTTTGTTCATCCCTCCAAGCTGCCCGAGAACGACCGGAAGAAGACCTCCGAGAGGCTTCGGGGGTTCCCAGGAGGTCTACGGACCACGCACTCGTGACCCAGGGTAGGGTCGTTTTTTGTTCATCCCTCCAAGATGCCCGAGAACGACCGAAAGAAGACCTCCGAGAGGCATCGGGGGTTCCCAGGAGGTCTACGGACCACGCACTCGTGACTCAGGGCAGGGTCGTTTTTTGTTCATCCCTCCAAGCTGCCCGAGAACGACCGGAAGAAGACCTCCGAGAGGCTTCGGGGGTTCCCAGGAGGTCTACGGACCACGCACTCGTGACCCAGGGTAGGGTCGTTTTTTTTGTTCATCCCTCCAAGATGCCCGAGAACGACCGAAAGAAGACCTCCGAGAGGCATCGGGGGTTCCCAGGAGGTCTACGGACCACGCACTCGTGACCCAGGGCAGGGTCGTTTTTTGTTCATCCCTCCAAGATGCCCGAGAACGACCGGAAGAAGACCTCCGAGAGCCCTGGCTCCTGATCCGCCGTACTTTGGATGATTTTCCGACCTAAAATTGTGTCGGAGATCGACGCCAAAGGAGCCTCAAGGGCGGAAATCGACGCTCAAAGGGGTCTCAAAAGTAGGGCGGAAATTTCCGCCCTACTTTCGAAATCGCCCAAAGTAGGGCGGATCAGGAGTCAGGGCTCCGAGAGGCATCTCGATTTTGGGGATGGTTTGGATGCTCTTGGGATGGCTCGGTGCTGCGGTCTCCCTGGCGTCCGAGGGCGCCCAGGAGGCCCGAGAGTCGCCCCGAGCTTGACCAAAAAAGGAGGAGGAGAAGAAGGAGGAGGACGAGGAGGAGGAGGAGGAGCAGGAGCAGGAGGGGGATCAGGAGGAGGAGGAGGAGGAGGACGAGGAGGAGGGGGACGAGGAGGACGAGGAGGACGAGGAGGAGGAGGAGGGAGGAGGAGGAGGAGGAGGAGGAGGAGGAGGAGGAGGAGGAGGAGGAGGAGGAGGTGACGCTCCAGGTGTCGCGCCTCGCAGCTTGCTCAAAAAAAGGAGGAGGAGGACGAGGAGGAGGAGGAGGAGGAGGAGGAGGAGGAGGTGACGCTCCAGGTGTCGCGCCTCGCGGCTTGTCCAAGAGAGCTTCCAGGCAGTCCAGGACCAGGAGGAGCCCCAAGACGGCCCAACAGGGCCCAAAGATGGCCCGAAGAGAGCCCCATGACGGCCCAAGATGTCCCCAAGAAGCCTCCCGAATCATTCCAAATAGTGCCCCAGTTCTTCAGGGAGACCGCGGTTGGAAGCAGGGTGGCCTGGGAAAGCCCGCAGAGGCTCCCCGAAGGAACCCGGGAGGCTTCCAGAAGGCCCCACCAAGCCCTTGAAAACCTTCGTGAGGCTTACAAGAGGCTCTCTTAGGATGAGCCTCCCCCAAAAAGAGCTGAGGATAGGGGTGAATTCGCAGGGCAGGGCGATAATGAGGAATGAGGAAAGGAAACATGAGGAAAGGATCACGAGTAACATTATCACAACGATGATTCCAGAAAGTGCAACAACGAGCTATCGCTAAATGTCATGCCTGCATGCCGAACCCCAGAAACCAAAGTGCATGGCGCGAAGCGCCAATGCAGTCTATCCCTACGATGGTCGAGCCCCAAGCCGATGACAATCTTAGGGATGTGCCGTCAGAAACTGAGGGAATCCTTGAAATTGGCATTGACGTTGATGATGATGGTGATGATGATCATGATCATGATGATGCTGATGATGATGATGCTGATGGTGATCATGCTGATGATGCTGATGACAATATGATTATGATGATGATGATGATGATGGTGGTGGAAGTGGTGATGATGACGGTGGTGATGATGATGGTGGCGATGATGATGATGATGATGATGATGATGATGATGATGATGATGATGATGATGATGATGATGATGATGGTGGCGATGATGATGATGATGATCATGATGTTGATGATGATGATGATGATGATGATGATGATGATGATGATGATGATGATAATGATGATGATGATGATGATGATGATGATGATGATGATGATGATAATAGTGGTGGTGATGATGACGATGATGACGATGATGACGATGATGACGATGACGAAGACGATGACGATGATGATGATGATGATGATGATGATGATGATGATGATGATGATGATGATGATGATGATGATGACGATGATGATGAACATAGAGACAAATAATTCAAGGGATACGTTTCAAGCTGGCTGCCGCCTCCCTCGTGGCAGGAAGAGCTGCCGCCGCTCGCGCTGGGCAGCCTGGCGGGGGGCGCTTTCCCCTTCAGCCCCGGCAGACGGCGCGGCAAGCGCAAGGAGATCCCCGAGCCTGCGACCAACTGCGAACCCTACCCACGCGGGTCCAAACGGCGCTGGGGTACGGTAGGTTCATGCAGCGATGGCGCGCCGGCGACGCCGGCGAAGGCGTTCAAGATTGAATTCCGCACGATAAGAGCGACGCGGAAGCAGTGAGGGACACGGCATCGTTGTCGGCGACACGACGGAGCTCAATCTCGAACGATCGGGGCCGCGATCGGTTGAACTCTGAACGATCGACGTAGTGTCAAAAACCTCGGCGCGTGCCGGCGCCGCACGGACCTGCCGCAGCGGACTCCCCCCCAGCTGGGGCTCACGGGGACGGGGTGGGGGGAGGAGGAGGAGGAGGAGGAGGAGGAGGAGGAGGAGGAGGAGGAGGAGGAGGAGGAGGAGGAGGAGGAGGAGGAGGAGGAGGAGGAGGAGTGAGGATCAGGAGCAGGAGCAGAGCAGGAGCAGAGCGAGCAGGGGCAGGAGCAGGAGGCAGAGGAAGCAGGACAGGAGGAGGAGGAGGAGGAGGGAGGAGGAGGAGGAGGAGAGGAGGAAAGAGGAGGGAGGAGGGAGAGGAGGAGCAGGGAGGAGGAGGAAGGAGCAGGACGAGGGAGGAGGAGGAGGAGGAGGGAGGGGGGAGGAGGGGAGGAGGGCAGAGGAGGAGGAGGAGGAGAGGAGAAGGAGGAGGGGGAGGGGGAGGGGGAGGGGGCCTGCAAACCTCCTGTGGACTCTGAGCCCCAGCCGGTGGTGCCGAGATCTGGCCCTGCAGGGGTACGGTTTTCACAGTGTGGCGCTCGTCGAAGAAGAAAAAGACTGAAGTCGGGCCTGTCCCTCTACAGGGGAAATATTTAAGAATATCAAACAAATAGTCAGGGGACGCTTTCTTGAGTACTTTTTGGTCATTTCGTGTTTTTCTCGCCTGAAATCCCCCCTGTAGGGGGACAGGCCCGACTTAACAGAAGAATGACGAACGAACAACACACACACACCAACACACACACACACACACCCGTACCCATAGGGGGGACGGACGGGGCTACGGGTGCGTGTTGTCGGATGGGGGTCTCCTCTCCAACGGGAGCCTCCCCAGGGGTCCGAGAACCTGCACCCATGCCCATAGCTGGTCCTCCTCCCTCCGACCTCCCTATGGGTGTGGGTGTGCGTTGTCCTTTCGTCAAAGAAGCCATACAAACATAAGCGTCCGAAGGTCCGTGCGGATTTCTTAGGTCTGTGCTGGTTCCTCTTGGGGCCGCCTCTGGCGCGTTCCGCGCGCCAGAGAGGGTCCCTCGCCGATCCAAGCATCCGCGCGGACATTCGAGAAATGCATGTTTGTGCTCTTGTTATTTCTTATTTCTCTTCTTTTAGGCCCGGCGCCGTGGGATCAACGAGGACGTCTTGCCTGGAGGCATGGAGGTAGGGATGCAGGCTCTGCGGCCTCGTCGACGTCTTCGTCATCGTTGTATGATGGTTTGCTTCCGTCTCCCTCCCATGTCTCCCCCTTAATATTCCTGCTTCTGCGCCCCCGGCACCATCATTTCCAGCTGCAGCTCCAGCTCTACCATCCCACCATGATCAACAATATCCTGCACGTGGCCATGCCTCCATCCATACTGCGCTGAACCGTGTCCGTCCAACGCGAGTGAAACCCGAGGGCAGGGCCGTCTGTTTTGCATGGCTCTGTGGCAGGCATTTCGCGGGGCCTCTTCCTGCTCCTCCTCCTCCTCCTCCTCATCATCATCATAATCATAATCATCATCATCATCATCATCATCATCATCATCATCATCATCATCATCATCATCATCATCATCATCATCATCATCATCATCATAATCGTCATCATCATCAACAGCAGCAACATCATCATCACCATCAGCATCATCAGCATCAGCATCAGCATCATGACCATCATGATCATCATCGGCATCATCACCATCTTCATGATCATTACGATCATGAGCAGCAGCATCATCATCAGCATCAACATCATCGTCACCATCATCAGCATCATCGTCATCATCATCAGCATCATCATCCTCCTCATCCTCATCAGCAACATCATCGTCAGCATCATCCTCCTCCTCCTCCTCCTCTGCCTCTTCCTGCTCCTCCTCCTCCTCCGTCTCTTCTTTCTCCTCCTCATCCTCCTCCTGCTCCTCCTCCTCCGCCTCTTCCTCCTCCTCCTCCTTCTTTTCCTCCTGTCTCTCCTCCCCCTTCTCCTCCTCCTCCTCCGTCTCCTCCTCGTCCTCCTCCTCCTCCTCATCCTCCGCCTCCTCCTCCTCCTCCTCCTCATCATCATCATCATATCACTACGGCTTCTTCGGTGCTCACTGCAGTACTACTGGGTGCCCTCCTCCACTGCCGCCCTCATTTTGAACTGGTTTTGGCCGGCGAGCCCGCCGCCATTTTGTTGTCTGTTCCCCGCGTTTGTTGTTTCATATGAGTTTGCTAACTCCGGCGCCTGGGAGCGCCCGCGCGCGCTCGCGGGCGCTTGCGAGTGCCCTGGCGGACGCCAGAGAGCGCATGCGAGCGCCTGGGAGCGCTTGGGGGGAGGTCACCCGGAAGCGCATGCGAACGCGTGGGATCGCCAGGAGGCGCCTGGGAGCGCCTGCGCCCGCGCTTGGGAGCGCGTGCAAGTGCTGGGCGGAGGCGCCCAAGAGCGCAGGCGAGCACCTGGGAACGCCAGGAGGCGCCTGAGAGCGCCTGCGCGATCGGGGGCGCTTGCGAGTGCTGCGCGCGTGTTTCGGAGCGCTTGCGAGTGCTGGGGCTCGAGCGCACGGTGCCGCGTTCAGCATAATGATCGCTACTGCAGGGGAGTCTGCGGGTCCGGGATTTTATGTTGACTTGCGCCCTGCTTGCTTTATCATTTGCATTCTCGCTTCATGCGGACAACTATGCATGTGCTGTTTTTTTTGTTTTGACGTCCCGTCCGATTTGTCTCGTCATCTTAATTCTGTGTTCATTATATCACAATGTTTATTTCAGTTCCGAATGCTGCTTTATATTCGTTGTAGTTTAATTCGACAGATTTCAAAACGTAGCCCACCATAATAATCCCGTACTGGCTACAAGACGATTCGCCGCCAACTGTTCGTGGGAAGTGCCAACTGAATTGCATTAGTTGTTTTGCTTCGCCGCCGCTTTTTCTCCACACGTCAGTTGCTGTTTCAGTTCTTTTTCCGCCGCCCGCCTATTTTCTGGCATGGAATATGTTTTATTGCTTCTGGTGTGATATCAGCATCATCATCACCATCGTCATCATCGTCATCATCATCCTCATCATCGCCATCATCATCATCATCATCATTATCATCATCATCATCATCATCATCATCATCATCATCATCATCATCATCATCATCATCATCATCATCGTCATCGTCATCGTCATCGTCATCGTCATCATCCTCCTCCTCATCATCATCCTCATCCTCATTATCATCATCACCAGTCATCATCATCACCATCATCATCCTCATCCTCATCATTCATCACTCATCGTCGTCATTCGCATCATCATAAACATAAACGTCACAATCAACACCATCATCACCATCACTACCATCATCATCAGCATCATCATTATCACCATGATCATCATCCTCATCATCATCGTCGTCGCCGTCTTCTTCATCATCATCTTCTTCATCATCATCATCATCATTAGCATCATCATCATGATCATCATCAGCAGCAGCAGCATCAGCATCATCATCATCCCCCTCCTCCTCCTCCTCCTCCTCCTCCTCCTCCTCCTCCTCCTCCTCCTCGTACTTCTCCCCCCACATCCTCCTCCTCCTTCTTCTCCTCCTACTCCTTCTCTTCCTCCTCCTTCCCCCTCCTGCTCCTCCTCCTCCTCCTCCTCCTCCTCCTCCTCCTCCGCCGAAAACTTCGGGGAAGGCCAGAGGCTCTCCGAGCCTTCTGACAGCGCTCGCCCCCTCGCGTCACCCCTGGGCTCGCCGCCGACAGACAAGGCCGTGATGCGATTGGCTCCGCGCTGTGCGATCAGCTGTTCGCTGAGGGGCCCACAGGTCGACGTCACCGCCCCGCGGGCACCGATGCCGGCGACTAAACCGACCAGACGCGGCTGCGCCACAGTCCGTCACATGCACGCTGGTGCCGTTTGTGGCCCAGCCGGCGCTCGCTGCTCGCGGAACCCTGGCCTCGAGAGAGCAGAACAGGGCGCCGGCGAGCACGGCACGACGAAACTTAGAGTTGGCCGTGTCTTTGTCCCCTCGCAACCGACAAGCTCAGAGGCGCGAGTGCCGAGCCATGTCCAAGGCAGGCAAGGCCCAGCTCGAACGACCCCAAGATCTCCCAGCTCCCCACTGCAGGCGAAGGATGGACAGGAGGAGGAGGAGGAGGAGGAGGAGGAGGAGGAGGAGGAGGAGGAGGAGGAATGAGAGGGAGGAGGAGGGGGAGGAGAGAAAGGAGGAGGAGGAGGGAGGAGAAGAGGAGGGAGGAGAGGAGATGATGAGGGAGGAGGAGGAGGATGAGAAGGAGGGAGGGAGAGGTTGGAACGTCTTGGAAGCACCGCGTGCACCGAGGGAGGGGGGGGAACATAGAAAGGCCGGGGCCGGCCCCCTGCAATCCGTGCGCCCCTTTCACCAGAGGTCCTGGGCGCCCTCCTCCTGCTCCCTCCTCCTCCTCCTCCTTTCTCCTCCTCCTCATCCTCCTCCTTCCTCCTCCCTCCTCCCTCCTCCTCCCTCCTCCTCCTCCTCCTCTCCCCCTCCTCCTTCCTCCTCCTCCCTCCTACTCTCCTCCCTCCTTCCCGTCCTCCTCCTCCTCCTCCTCCTCCTACTCCCTCCTCTCCTCCTCCTCCTCCTCCTCCTTCCTCCTCCTCCTCCTCCTCCTCCTCCTCCTCCTCCTCCCCTCCCTCCTCTCCTCCTCCTCCATCCTCCTCCTCCTTCCTCCTCCTCCCCCTCCTCTCCTTCCTCCTTCCCTCCCTCCTCTCCTCCTCCTCCTCCTCCTCCTCCTCCTCCTCCTCCTCCCTTCCCTCTCCTCCTCACCTCCTCCTGCTCCCTCCTCCTCCTCCCTCCCTCCTCCTCCTCCTCCGCCTCCTCCTCCTCCTCCTCCTCCTCCTCCTCCTCCTCTCCTCCTCTCCTCCTCCTCCTCCTCCTCCTCCTCCCTCCTCCCTCCTCCTCCTCCCTCCTCTCCTCCTCCTCCTCCTCCTCCTACTCCCTCTCCTCCTTCTCCTCCTCCTCCTTCCTGCCTCCTCCTCCTCCTCCTCCTCCTCCTCCTCCGTCTCCTTCGAAGGTCCCTTCCGAATTCTGCCGAGATTCTGCAGGCCTTTCTTCGTGGGGGCCTCGCAGGGGCCCAGCAGCTGAGGGAGGAGGAGGAGGAGGAGGAGGAGGAGGAGGAGGAGCAGGGAAAGGAGGGGGAGGAGGAGGGGGCGGAGGAGGAGGCGGAGGAGGAGGGAGGAGGAGGAGGAGGAGGCGGAGGAGGAGGAGGAGGAGAAGGAACCAGTGAAAATCCAAGACTCATCAACGATGTTGGTATATGCCCTCCCTCTACGCTCCCTCTTCACGGGCCTCTAAAAGGGTTCTTTTCCATTGCGGGAATTGCCTCGTTCGGGGACGACCGTGTGAAAATTCTGAGGCGTGCCAAAACACAGTTCTCAGGACCTCAGGGAGGGGGGGGTTGGCGCCGCCCCCCCCTGGGCTGCCTCTGGTCAGCGTCGCTGCGTCCCCGCCGTCGGCGCTGCTGGCGGGGCGGCCGCCAGCGCCGGCGCCGGCGCAGGCGCCGAGGGGGGGGGGGGTGGACCCCCCCACCCCCCCTTGGGAGGGAAGGGGGGAGTTCGGGACGGGGGGGGGTTAGGGGGGAGGGGAAAGTCCCCCTGGTTTTAATCGACGCCCGGGCGGGCGGGCGAATTGGGGGGGGGGGGGGGCACCTCCGCTTCGAAACGCGCCGCCGAATGTTCCCAAGGCAAGCGCCGGTGAAACGCGCTCTCTCCGACCTCAACATCACGAGCTAACCTGACTGTTACGTCTTGGCCATCCTGAATCGCGCCAGAACACCATTCCTGGGACTTCAACACCGCGAATCAACGTAACTGTTGCGCCCTGACAGTCCTGAATCGTTCCAAAACGCCGTTTCTGCTACGTTAACCATGAGAACCATTGAAACTCTTGCACTGTTTGATTGTTGTTTCCTTTTTCCTTCTTTTTTAAGTGTGCGCTGCGCTGAGGCGAGAGCCACATTTGGGGAGGGCGGAGGAGGAGGAGGAGGAGGAGGAGGAGGAGGAGGAGGAGCAGGTTTGAGGTGGGAGGAGGAGGAGGAGCATGAGGAGGAGGAGGAGTGGGAGGAGCAGGAGCAGGAGCAGGAGCAGGAGGAGGAGGGAGGGAGGAGGAGGAGGAGGAGGAGGAAGAGGAGGAGAGGAGGAGGAGAGGATGAGGGAGGAGGAGGGAGGAGGAGGGAGCATGAGGAGGAGGGAGGAGGAGCAGGACGAGGGAGGAGGAGGAGGAGGAGGAGGAGGAGGAGGAGGAGCGAGGAGCCCGGTGCCCGTGCAGGCCCTCGGGCCGAGGCCGGCCGTGGCGGGCCTCGGCGAGTCGGCCGCCAAGGACGCCGGCATCCTCGCCTGGCTGGGCTTCCGCGCCAGTCCAGCGCAGGAGACGACGACGACGCCGACGACGACGACGGCGACGACGACGACGACGACGACGCCGATGACGACGCCGACGACGACGCCGACGCCGACGACGGAGACGCCGATGAGGCCGACGACGACGACGCCGACGATGAGGCAGGCCGACGACGACGGCGACGACGACGACGCCGACGACGAAGACGCCGACGACGACGACGACGACGACGGCGACGACGACGACGACGGCGATGACGACGCCGTCGCCGATGACGACGCCGACGCCAGCGACGACGCCGACGAAGGAGACGCCGATGAGGCCGACGACGACGACGCCGACGATGAGGCCGACGACGACGGCGACGACGACGACGCCGACGACGACGCCGACGACGACGACGACGACGGCGACGACGACGACGACGACGGCGATGACGACGCCGTCGCCGATGATGACGGCGACGCCAGCGACGACGGCGACGACGCAGACGAAGACGCCGACGACGACGACGCCGACGACGCCGACGACGACGACGCCGACGATGACGGGCCGACGACGACGCCACGACGTACAGAAAAAACGACGACGACGACGCTTCGCCAGACCGGACCCCGACGACGACGACGACGCCGACGAGACGCGCCGACTGAAGGCGGGGCGTCCAACGATGGTCGACAGAGGCCGACGCCCAGCGACGACGGCGACGACGTGACTGAACGACGACAACGACGCGAACGGACGAACGCCGCGTGCCGTCGCCGACGACGCAGTCGCCCCATGACGACGATGGCCGACCATCGACGACGCGAGACGGCCCGACAAAGACGCCGACGACGAAACGGCGACGACGCGACGACGACGACGGCCGCCGATGACGAGCCGACGCACGACGGACGGCGACGACGCCGACGACGACGCTGACGACGACGACGCCGACTACAAGACGCGGCACGCCCTGACCGACGGTTTCCGGAAGTCCGACTACGACGACGGGGCCGGCGGCGCGCCGACGACGCCGAGACGACGACGGCGCCGACGGCCACGACTCCGACGACACGACGCCGACGACGCCGACGGTGCCGACGACGTCGCCGGCCAGCGACGACGCCGACGAAGACGCCGACGACGACGGCGACGACAACGACGACGACGGCGACGCCGACGATGACGCCGACGACGACGACGCCGACGACGACCCCGACGATCACGGCGACGACGACCCCGACGACGGCGACGTCGACGCCGACGACGACGACGCCGACGACGCTGACGCCGACGCCGCCGACACCGACGCCGACGCCGTTGGCGATGACGACGCCGACGCCAGCGACGACGGCGACGTCGCCGACGCCGACGCCGACGACAACGGCGACGACGCCGACGACGACGACGCCGACGATGACGCCGACGACGACGACGCCTACGACAACGACGACGACGGCGACGACGACGACGACGGCGACGACGACGACGACGACGACGACGACGACGACGACGACGACGACGGCGACGCCGACGACGATGCCGACGCCGACGACGCCGACGACGCCGAGGACGATGCAAACGACGCCAGCGTCGACGCCGACGACGACGTCGACGACGACGTCGACGACGCGACGAAGACGACGCCGACGATGACGCCGACGACGACGACGCCTACGAAAGCGACGGACGGCGACGACGACGACGACGGCGACGACGACGACGACGGAGACGGGACGACGCACGACGCGACGACGACGGCGCGCCGACGACGCATGCCGACGCCGCGACGCCGACGACGCCGCGACGATGCAAAGGACGCCAGCGTCGACGCCCCCCCGACGACGACGTCGAGACGCGTCGACGCCGACGAGAAGCCGACCGCCGACGGACGACGACGATGACTCGACGACGACGGACGACGCCACGAAAACGACACGAACGGCGACGACGACGACACGCCGACGACGACGACGACGACGACGACGACGGACGACGACGGCGCGCCGACGACGATGCCGACGCCGACGACGCCGACGAGACTAGGACGAGCAACGACGCCGGGCTCGACGCCCGACGACGACGCCGCCGGAGACGACTAACGATGCCGACGATGACGCCACGGACGACGACGACGACGGCGACGACGCCGACGACGACGGCGGCGACGCCGACGACGACGACGCCGACGACGACGCTGACGACGACGACGCCGACGATGACGCCGACGACGCCGACGCCGTCGACGCCGACGCCGACGCCGTCGCCGATTGCGACGCCGACGCCGACGACGCCGACGAAGACGCCGACGACGACGCCGACGACGACGACGACGGCGACGCCGACGATGACGCCGACGACGACGACGACGACGCCTACGACGAAGACGCCGTCGACGCCGACGCCGACGCCGACGACGCCGACGCCAACGCCGACGCCGACGACGCCGACGCCGACGACTACGCCGACGACGACGACGACCACGACGACGACGACGACGGCGCCGACGCCGACGCCGTCGACGCCGACGCCGACACCGACACCGTCGCCGCTGACGCTGACGCCAGCGACGACGGCGACGACGCCGACAATGATGCCGACGACGACGACGACGCCGACGACGCCGACGCCGACGTCTCCGACGACGCCGACGACGACGACGCCGACGACGACGGCGGGGACGACGACGACGCCGGCACCGACGGTGACGGTGACGACTACGACGACGACGCCGACGCCGACGACGCCGACGAAATCGCCGACGAAGACGCCGACGACGACGGCGACGACGCCAACGACCACGACGCCGACGACGACGACGACGATGGTGACGACGAAGACGCCGACGACGACGACGCCGACTCCGACGATGACGTCGACGACTAGGACGACGACGACGCCGACGAAGACGCCGTCGACGCCGACGCCGACACCGTCGCCGATGACGCCGACGCCAGCGACGACGGCGACGACGCCGACGACGACGCTGACGACGACGACGCCGACGACGAAGACGGCGGCGACGCCGACGACGGTTCCGACGACGACGACGCCGGCGGCGGCGCCGACGACGCCGACGACGACGACGGCGCCGACGACGACACCGACGACGAGGACGACGCCGACGACGACGGCGACGACGTCGACGACGACGCCGACGACGACGTCGACGCCGACGACCACGGCGGCGGCGCCGACGACGCCGACGACGACGACGGCGACGACGCAGACGCCGACGACGAGGACGACGCCGACGACGACGGCGACGACGACGACGACGCGACGACGACGACGACGACGACGACGACGACGACGACGACGACGCAGACGCCGACACGACGCCGACGCCAGCGACGAGGGCGACGCCGACGACGACTACACCGACGACGACGGCGACGACGCCGACGACGACGCCGACGAAGACGACGACGCCGACGACGACGGCGCCGACGACGACGCCGACGACGACGCCGACGACGATGCCCAATGCGACTCCGACGAGGCCGCTGACGACGACGACGACGCAGACGCCGACGCATACGCCGACGCCGACGACGACGATGCCGATGCCGACGAAGACGCCGAAGCCGCCGACGACGACGCCGAATGCGACGGCGACGACGACGACGCCGAACGACGACGCCGACGCCGACGCCGACGACGACGCCGACGCCGACGCCGACGACGCCGCCGACGACGACGCCGGCCAAATGCGACGGCGACGACGACGACAACGATAGCGGCGTCGCCGACGATAACGCCGACTCCGATTCCGACGCCGACGACGACGACGACGACGACGACGACGACGACGACGACGACGACGACTACGCTGACGACGACGACGACGCCGACGAAAACGCCGACGCCGACGAAGACGCCGACGATCCCGCGATGCCGACAACGCCGCCGACGACGACGACGTCGACGACGACGACGCCGACGCCGAGGCCGATGCCGACGCCGACGCCGACGCCGACGCCGACGCCGACGCCGACGCCGACGACGACGACGATGACGACGACGAAGACGGTGTCGACGCCGACGCCGACGACGACGACGACGACGCCGACGACGACGCCCGCCAATTGCGACGGCGACGACGACGTCGTCGACGACGACTACGCCGACGGCGCCGGCGACGCCGACGACGACGCCGACGACGACGGCTGCGTTGACGACGTCGCCGACGACGATGACGACGCCAACGACGATGACGAATGCGACGACGACGACGATGACGACGACGACGGCGGCGATGCCGACGGCGACGGCGACGGCGACGCCGACGATCCGGCGATGACGATAACGCCGACGATCCGGCGACGCCGACACCGACGTCGACGACGACGCCGACGCCGACGCCGACGCCGACGACGACGACGACGACGCCGACGACGACGCCGACGCCGACGACGACGACGACGGCGACGACGACGACGACGACGACGACGACGACGACGACGGTGCCGACGCCGACGACGACGACGATGCCGACGCCGACGCATACGCCGACGACGACGCCGACGACGCCGACGCCGACGACGACGACGCCGACGAAAACGCCGTCGCCGACGGAGACGCCGACGGCGACGCCGACGCCGGCGACGCCGCCGACGCCGACGCCCGCCAACTGCGACGGCGACGACGACGACGACAACGATGGCGTTGCGGCGATGGCGACGGCAACGCCGACCACGACGCCGACGACGACGACGACGCCAGCGCCGACGCCGACGACGACGACGACGACGACAACGTCAACGCCGACGCCGACGACGACGACGACGACGACGACGACGACGACGACGACGACGACGGTGCCGACGCCGACGACGACGACGCCGACGCCGACGCATACGCCAACGCCAACGCCGACGCGAACGACGACGACGCCGACGAAAACGACGACATAGACGCCGACGCCGACGCCGACGACGCTGACGCCGACGACGACGCCCGCCAAATGCGACGGCAACGACGACGACCACGATGGCGTTGCGGCGGCGGCGACGGCGACGCCGACGACGACGCAGACGACGACGACGCCGACGCCGACGCCGATGCCGCCGCTGACGACGACGCCGAATGCGACGGCGACGACGACGACGGCGACGACGACGACGACGACTACGACGTTGGCGCTGGCGACGCCGACGCGGACGCCGACGCCGACGCCGACGCCGACGACGACGCCGAATGCGACGACGACGACGACGATGACGACGAGGACGACGACGACGAAGGCGGCAACGGCGACGGCGACGACTACGCCGACGATGACGATAACGCAGACTACGACGACGACGACGACGACGACGACGATGACGACGACGACGACGACGACGACGGCGGCAACGGCGACGCCGACGCCGACGCCGACGATGACGATAACGCAGACTACGACGGCGAAGGCGACGACGACGACGACGACGACGACAGCGCCGACGCCGACGCCGGTGCCGACGCCGACGACGACGACGACGACGCCGACGCCGACGCCGACGCTGACGCCGACGCCGGCGCCGACGACGACTACGCCGACGACGACGACGACGACGACGACGACGACGACGACGACGACGACGACGACGACGACGACGACGGTGCCGACGCCGACGACGACGCCGACGCCGACGCCGATGCAGACGCCATGACGACGACGACGACGCCGACGCCGACGACGACGACGACAACGACGACGCCGACGCCGACGCTGACGACGACGACGCCGACGCCGACGCCGACGACGACGGCCGCCAACTGCGACGGCGACGACGACGACGACGATGGCGGCGGCGGCGGCGGCGACGCCGACGCCGACGACGATAACGCCGACGCCGACGCCGACGCCGACGACGCCGCCGTCGACGACGCCGAATGCGACTGCGACGACGACCACGACGACGGCGGTGGCGGCGGCGGCGACGCCGACGCCGACGCCGGCGCCGACGCCGACGCCGACGACGACGACGCCGACGCCGACTACGCCGACGGCGCCAGCGACGCCGACGCCGACGCCGACGAAGACGCCGACGCCGCCGACGACGACGACGCCGACGCCGTCGCCGTCGCCGTCGCCGACGCCGACGAAAACGCCGACGAAAACGCCGACGATGACGACGACGCCGACGCCGACGCCGACGACGATTACGACGACGGCGCTGCTGCCGCCGACGACGCCGACGCCGACGCCGACGCCGTCGACGACGACGACGACGACGCCGACGCCGACGCCGTTGCCGACGACGCCACCGACGGCGGAGCCCGCCAAATACGACGACGACGACGATGGCGGCGGCGGCCGGCGACGGCGGAGCCCGCCAAATGCGACGACGCCGACGCCGACGACGACGACACCGAATGCGACGACGACGCCGACGACGTCGACGACGACGGCGATAACGCCGACTACGACGGCGACGACCACGCCGACGACGACGACGACGCCGACGCCGACGCCGACGCCGACGACGACGACGCCGACGCCGACGCCGACGCCGACGCCGACGACGCCGCCGCCGCCGTCGACGACGATGACGACGACGACGCCGACGACGACGACGACGGTGCCGACGCCGACGCCGACGACGACGCCGACGACGACGCCGACGCATACGCCGACGCCGACGCCGACGACGACGACGCCGACGACGACGACGCCGACGACGACGACGCCGACGAAGACGCCGACGGCGACGCCGACGCCGACGACGCCGCCGACGACGTCGCCTGCCAAATGCGACGGCGACGACGACGATAATGCCGACGCGGACGACGCCGCCGACGACGACGCCGAACGCGTCGACGACGACGACGACGACGACGCCGACGACGACGACGACGACGACGACGACGACGACGACGACGACGACGACGACGACGACGACGACGACGGTGGCGACGCCGACGCCGATGCCGACGCCGACGCCGACGCCGACTACGACGGCGACGACGACGCCGACGCCGACGACGACGACGACGCCGACGCTGACGCCGACGACGACGACGACGAGTCGACGACGACGACGATGCCGACGCCGACGATGGCGCCGACGCCCACGACGATGACGATGACGGTGCCGACGCCGACGACGACGCCGACGACGACGACTCCGACGAAAACGCCGACGCCGACGAAGCCGCCGACGGCGACGCCGACACCGACGACGCCGCCGACGACGACGCCCGCCAACTGTGACGGTATGACGACGACGACGATGACGGCGGCGGCGGCGGCGGCGCCGACGCCGACGCCGACGCCGACGACGACGAGAACGCCGACGCCGGCGACGCCGCCGACGACGACGCCGAATACGACGACGACGACGACGACGACGGCGACGACGACGACGACGGCGACGCCGACGACGGCGATGACTTGAGAAGCAGTATTTTTCTTACGTGTAGTGGGTTATGCCGTGTCTGCCTGTCAAATTTTCAGGTCTCAGGTCTGTAGCTGCAGTGACTCGTAGCCTAAGGGCGAAGCGGCGAAGCTTGAGAGTAATTCCGGCGCGCTGGCGGGCTAGTCGGCTCGAAAAATCTCGACGGACATTTTGTCTTTTTCTGGCCTATTTAAGATTATTTTTTTCGAAATTCAACCATTCGTTAGGGAGGAGGAGGAGAAGGAGGTGGAGGAGGTGGAGGAGGAGGAGGAGGAGGAGGCGGAGGCGGAGGATGAGGAGGAGGTGGAGGAGGTGGAGGAGGAGGAGGAGGAAGAGGAGGAGGAGGAGGAGGAGGAAATGGAGGACGAGGGGGATATCAGAGAAGAGGGGGTCAGGATGAGGATCAGTGAGGAATACACAGCGCTTCATCCCTTCATCCCTTTTCGCGCGCACGCGCCGAAACGATTTCGCTCGAACGGCCGCGGATTTCGCGCGAACTGTTCTCGCGCGAACGGCGCACTCTCCCGACGCCCACGACGACGACGACGGCGGCGGCAACGGCGGCGACGACGACGGCGACGACGCCGACGACGACGACGACGAAGACGCCGACGCCGACGCCGACGCCGCCGCCGACCACGACGCCCGCCCTCTGCGACGGCGACGACGACGACGATGGCGGCGGCGACGGCGACGGCGACGCCGACGACGACGATAACGCCGACGGCGATAACGCCAACGCCGACGACGCCCACGACGGCGGCGGCGATTGCGGCGGCGACGCCGACGACGACCCCGATTGCGGCGACGACGACGACGACGACGACGACGACGACGATGCCGACGACGACGACGACGCCGACGAAGACGACGCCGCCGATCACGACTCCCGCCAAATGCGACGGCGACGACGACGACGACGATGGCGGCGGCCACGGTGACGCCGACGTCGACGACGATGATAACGCCGACGACGATAACGCCGACGCCGACGACGCCCACGACGACGACAACGACGGCGGCAGCGACGGCGGCGGCGAGGCCGACGACGACGCCGACTGCGGCGACGACGACGACGACGATGACGACGACGCCGACGACGCCGCCGACGACGACGACGCCCATGTCGACGCCGACGCCGACGCCGACGACGCCGCCGACCACGACGCCCGCCAAAAGCGACGGTGACGACGACGACGCTGGCGGTGGCGACGGCGACGACGCCGACGACGATGATAATGCCGACGACGATATAACGCAGACGACGCCGACGCCGACGCCGACGACGCCCACGACGACGACGACGGCGGCGGCGACGGCGGCGGCGGCGCCGACGACGACGCCGACTGCGTCGACGACTACGCCGACGATGACGACGACGCCGACGACGCCGCTGACGACGACGCCGACGAAGACGCCGACGCCGACGCCGACGCCGACGACGCCGCTGACCACGACGCCCGCCAAATACGACGGCGATGACGACGACGATGGCGGCGACCACGGCGACGCCGACGCCGACGACGACGATAAACGCCGACGCCGACGACGCCCACGACGACGACGACGACGACGACGACGACGACGACGACGACGATGGCTCAGTGACCACCCCGAGACTTGGCCGTCTCTGCGGGCGGCGCGGGGTGCGGAGTGGAACGCAGAGCCGTGTCACGGAGACGCTGCCTGTCTGAAGCCGTTCCCCGCCCTCTCCGACTCCCTGCGCGGAGCACTCCCGAGCGCATCTCCCCCCCAGCCTTTCCGGCGGCGGCGCGCCCGGGGGGGGCGGCGAGAAGGGGCGGGCTTTCTCAGAAGGCCTGGAAGTCTCCCGGCTCTCTGACCTCCTCGTCATCATCCTCATTCTCTTCCGTCCCCTCCTCCTCTTCCTCCTCCTCCTAATCCTCATCCTAATCCTCCTCATGATCCTCCTCCTCCTCCTGAGAATTGTCCTCAGTCTTTCCCAAGACACAGGGAGAACTTCTCGGAAGGCGCGAGGGCTTCTGAGAAGCCTCGCCGCCTTCTGAGAAGGCCTTCTCATTCTCACTTCCCCCGCTCGCTCGCCGCCGATTCGAGGAGCCCACCTCCGAGATGCCGCCCGACTCCATGCACGCGACGGCCGCGACGGGGGACATCGTGGAGTCACCGTCGACGGTCGAGTCGACGACGGTCCCCATGTCGTCGACGGTGGCGGGGTCGCCTCACGACGAGTTCGAGGTCGAGAAAGAGACGCGGGCGCTTCCTACAGGCCTCGCTGGCACACTGCATGCGAGTACGCTGAATACCTGGGGTCTCCGCCACGCCGCTTCGCCACGTGGCTGGGCGCCCCAGAATGCGGTTTCCTCGCTCATGGCGCCGCGGCCCAGGAGGATGGCGGGGCGGCGCGAATATTTCTCCCTCTCTCACCCTCTCACTATCTCCCTCCCTCTCTACTTGTGTATGTGGAAATGTATGTGTAAATGTACAGGTGTATGTATATTGGTACATGTATGCGTATGCATGTGTAAATGCATGTGTATATATGTGTGTATAAAATATATGAATATGTATATGGACATGTGTATGTAGATGTATCTGCATATGGCAATGTATATGAATGTACTTGTGTGTGTATATGAATACGTAGTCGCTATTTGTTTCTGTCTCTCTCTCTCGCTCGCTCGCTCGCTCTCTCTCTCTCTGTCTCTCTCTCTCTCTCTCTCCTTCATCCATATTACATATCTACTATATATTATATATACAAGACTGCAGTGGCGCTTCGCGCCATGCACCTTGGTCCTTGAAGTTTGGTATGCAGGCGGAAATGGCAGGAAGGCCAAGCCGACAATTTAGCGACAACTCCTTGTTGCCTTTTCCGGCATCGCCGCTATAATAATGCTTTTCGTTATCCTTCCTCCATGCTTCTTTTTCCTCATGTTCGCCATGCCCTGCGCATTCTCCCCATGCTCAGCTCTTTCTTGCGGAGGCTCCTCCTTGGAGAGCCTCTGGGGGCCTCACAAAAGTTGTTTCAGGCTTTCTTAAGGCCCTCTGGAGGCCTCCTGGGCGTATTCTGGGGGCCTCTGGAGGCTTCCTCGGGCCACCCTGCCTCCAACCGCGGTCTCCCCGAACGACCGGGTCACGATTTGGAATGCTTCGGAGGGTGTCTTGGGGCCTTGGAGATAGTTTATCGGGTTGGCCTGTCAATTTGTTGATCCGCTACCGTTGGTTCTAATCAGCTGCGCGAGCCGGTGGTTCGCCACTCGATGGAGCGGGCGAGGGCTGCCGCAGCGGGCGCCGGTGGCTTGGCGCATCTGGGCAGCCTGCTGTCAGCGCTGCACCTGCCAGGTCGAGCTGGGAGACGGGTTCTCGGTCGACCGCGAGCTGCTGCGCCTCCTGGAGGGGCAGCTGCAGAGGTGTGGGCCCGCCAACCTCACGGTGCCGGCACCTTGTGCGCCTCCAGAGTGCTCGGGCTACCCGGGGCTGGTGGTCCTCCTGGTGTCCGTGCTGGCGTTCCTGGCAGGGTTCGCCTCCGCCGCTGTCTGTGGCTGGTGGTGTCTGAGGCGCTCGGAGGGTCGCTCCACGCCCGACGGCTCTGGGACTCCTCGTCTGACCGACGGAAGCGATGTCCGAGCAGCTTCTTCAGGGCCGGCGGGTGCTCGTCTCCTACGACCGGGACCCTCGCGAGCTGTTGTGGCATGAACGTCTTCTGTGCGCTCACGTGCACGAGGGCTCCTGGGTGGTCACTACGCCCGAGAGGGACATGTACCTCGAAGACCTTCAGGAAGGGATCGAGAGCCTCGTGTTGCTAGGGCCCATGGGAGGTCTGCCTATCGGATGGAGCCGTGGGCCGACGCATCTGTTCAGGAATTCGTCCCAGGGCCCGCTGCGCCGTGAGGAGAGTCTGCGGCTCCAGGCAGAGGGCGCTGAGCTGGCCATGCAGGAGAGGCGCGGCCTGGGGCTTCCCGCTGCCCCGCCTCTGCCGCCGCCCGCGGGCGCGCCACCGCCGCTGGCGCTGGAGGGCGTGCCGAGCGCAGGCGAAGGAGTGTGGCAGTACTCGGAGAATCGCGGGGGTGCTCGGCTTGGCGAGCGCGTCGGCGAGGCGGGGCTGGAGGCAGGCTGTCATCGCGGGGATCGTGGAGTGGCCCTGGTGGGGGACGTCTTCGTGGCCTGCTCCTTCTTCAGGCCTGAGCAGCAGATGCCTACGCCGAGGGAGATGGAGGCGGCGGAGCCTTCGCCGAACGAGCTGCGCACCCTCCCTGTGAAGTACGAGACGGCCAGCCAGCGGCATCGCTCGTACAAAGAGGTCGCCTCGCTGACCACGACGACTGCGTTCGGCGACTGGTCTATCAGCGGTCCCAGGACGGCGGAGTGGCTGGCGCGGGAGATCGCCCGTCAGGAGCTGACGCCCGTGCGCCGCCATTTCTGGTGGAGACAGCTACTGGGCTTGGGCCCCAGCGACTGGGGCTTGAGTCACTGAGCCGGCTCTTCGAGTACGCGCTGACGCACGATCAGCTGAACTTCGGCGAGCTGGCGTCGCTGGAGCTTGCGGGTAGGCGCCACCAGCTGCTCGAGGAAAGGTACGCCCGAATGCTGATCGCGACGACGGCAGGGGGCGACAGCGGCCATCTCGACAACGACAGGCTGTTCATGGGCGAGGAGGGCCGCCACGGCCGCGCGCTTGTGGCGCCCGTGCTAGAGTCCTGGATCTCCCAGAAGCTGTCCGAGGAGAGTGCGGTGCTCAAGGAGCGCCGCAAGGCGAAGGAGGAGCGGCAGCTGGCCCGCTCGACAGATACTGTTCCAGGTGTTGGAAGCGGCAAGAACGACGAAAAGCACCCCAGGCGCCAGAAGAAGAATGGTGGCGGGCCGGGGGGTGACGCTGCTTGAGCTGCCACGGGCGGCGGAGGCCCCCGGCCGCCGTCCATTTACAGAGGGGGGGGCTGCCCGCTTGAGGAGGATCGCGGGCCGCCTCGGTGTTGCAGGTGAAGGCCTAGACTGGGCTAGGGACTTGCTGCCTCTGCCGTCTTGGCGCTGCCTGGCAGATCTCCTGGAGGGGCTCTCGCCAGCGGGCCTGGGCGTGTCGCGCTGTGCGGCGCGGCGGCGCCCCAGCCGACGGGCTGCTGAGGCGCGGCTGCAGGACGGCATCCCGACGCTCAACGTGCTGGGCGGCCGCGGCGAGGAGTGGGGCCCCAAAGCGTTGCCAGGTGCCATCCAGCGCCAGGCAGTGGCCAGCTTGGCCCGGGCCTACTTTGCCGTGCCGCCGCCGCCCGATGACCTCACCGCCTCGGGAGCGTGGTCTGCGCTTCGGGGCTGCGGTTCCGGCTACGCCGTTGCAGGTGTTGTCGCCGGAGAGTTCGCGACCTACCAGCGTGGCAGGCTTGCCCTGCCAGCGGTCGGTAACCAGGCGATCGACCTCGTCAGTTGCCTGCCCGACCACTACCAGAAGTTGCTGGAGGATAGTGGCCGCGCTATTCGGTTACCCGCAGTGTGTACAAAGGACGCGGCGGCGGAGGCGGACGAGTTGGGCCCTGCGATGGAGCCCATCCTGGCGAGGTCGCCCAGCAAGTTCGCCGAGTTTTTCCCCATATCCTAAGATGGGGTTATTGTTATTACTTGGACGCCTCCTACTCCTCCTTCCTCCTCTTTTCTCCTCCCCTCCTGTCGGGCTTACTCATACTCCCACTTGCTCATAAACAGACTTACTCATACTACTCACACCCATACGTACTCATACACAGACTCACTCATACCCAGACTTACTCATACACAGTATTAGTCATACTCAGACTTACTCATACCCAGACGTACACATACACAGACAATCTCATACACAGACCTACTCATACCCAGACTTACTCATACACAGACTTACTCATACACAGACTTACTCATACTCAGCACCCCTAAGGGGAGCCGCCAGGGGTGGTTGCACGGGCTCGTTCGCGGCCATTTTGTGGGGATGTCTCAGGCGGTTTGCCTGTTTCTGGGCCCAACATCCTTCGCTTGGAGAGCAGATTGTGAGGATGTCTCAGGCGGGGCGCTGGTTTCAGCACCCCTAAGGGGAGCCGCCAGGGGTGGTTGCACGGGCTCGTTCGCGGCCATTTTGTGGGGATGTCTCAGGCGGTTTGCTTGTTTCTGGGCCCAACATCCTTCGCTTGGAGAGCAGATTGTGAGGATGTCTCAGGCGGGGCGCTGGTTTCAGCACCCCTAAGGGGAGCCGCCAGGGGTGGTTGCACGGGCTCGTTCGCGGCCATTTTGTGGGGATGTCTCAGGCGGTTTGCTTGTTTCTGGGCCCAACATCCTTCGCTTTCGGAGCAGATTTGGAGGATGTCTCGAGCGAGGCGCTCATTTTCACCCCCCAGGTGGGCCAGATTTTGAGGATGTCTCGATCGGTTTGCTTGTTTTGGTGGCCAGGCTCGTGGGCGCAGATTCTTCTCAGGATGCCACAGGAGGCTCCAACAGGCTCCAGGAGGCCCCAGGAGACCACATGAGGTCCCAGGAGGCATCAGGAGGCCACAGAAAGATTCAAGAGGCCACAGGATGTCCCAAGAGGCTCCAGGAGGCCCCAGGAAGCTCCAGAAGGCTTCAGGAAACCACAGGAGGCCCCAGGAGGCAACAGGAAGCGCCAGGAGGCCTCGGAAGGCAACAGGAGGCCCCGAGAGGCCCCAGGAGCAGGAGGCCTCAGAAGGCAACAGGAGTGGCTCCAATCCCATGTGTTTTACGTATGCTCCTATCGATTGGGCCTCACCTGGAGCACGATTCTTTGATGTTCTACGTATGTTTCTATAGATGGTCCTTCTCCTGTGTACACAATCCTAAATGTTTTACGCATGTTCCTATGTAGTGGGCCTCTCCTGGGGCACGAGTCCTTGGTGTTTACGTGTGTTCCTATAGATTGCCCTTCTCCTGTGGCTCTAATCCCCCGTAGCCAGTTTGGCTCAAGACCCAATGCTTGGGGGGCTACAAGCCTCCTGGCAAACACGGGATAGCTCTGTTTCCCGAGCTCGACCTTCAGCGGCGCGCGCGGCTCCCCTCGTTTTGGCACTTATAACACTGTGTGTGTCTCGGCCATGGCACCCCAGTGGCAGTGCGTTTGTGGAGAGTACCACGCCGCCGACCGCACTCGGTGCTCGAAGGCGGGGTGCGGAGGCATGCGGCCTCGCTTCCCTCGCGGAGCAGGACAGCCCTGGCACCAGCCGCGACAGCTCCGTCAGCCTCCGTCTCGGGGCAAGTGGGCAGACTCGCCGCCGAGCAACCAGTGGGGGCACAACGGCAAGCTCTTCAAGGGCAAGAGTGCTGGTGGAGACAAGAGTTCCTCTGGCACCACTCTCAGTGCGGAGGAGGTCAAGGTCTGGGCCACCTTCACGCAGGAGACTTGGGACGCGACAAAGCA